AGGAAGTCTGAGTTGAATGGCTGAAGTTTAATGGTGAAACTCAAGAGGGTCGGTTGCAGATCCAGAGGGCAGAGGAGGGAGCCTGCTTCTCAGGGAAATCCTCTCTCCCCAGATAGTCAAAGTCTATCCAGGCAGGGCTGGGACCTGGGAGTACAAACAAGCTGTGCTCTGCTAGGCTCACCCACGGCGGGGAACATCCTCCTTAGAGAATTTCTGGGACCGCTACCTCTTGGGCCTGTGCCCCAGGGATCCAAGGAGCCCCTGCACTTTAGCTGGGAGGACCAGGCAGAAACCAGGGAAGAATGCCCTCCCCGTGTGCCATCTCCTACATGGGAAGGCACCTGCCCTTCTGGGCCCATTTCAAGTGTAGCCTTTGCCTTGAGGCCTTGTTCTCTTGCCCTGGGCAGTGTCCTCTGAACCCTGGAGCATGCTCTCTTTTGTTTTCAATGTTTGGTGGAAGCAAGTATGTGTCGCATATGGGTCTGTGAGAGAGGTTAGTAAATATCCTAAAATGAAGGAACTTCTAAAAGGATGATCTGAGTTTTGAGTCCAAGTCTGTCTGACTCCCAAGACTGCTCACTCCCCAGTTAGATGCCAAGAAGCAGGCTTACTGCCTAATCCCAGGAGACTACACCAGCTTCTCTCTAATATTCTTGGAGGGAACATGTGGTTTTTCTTCCTTTAGTGTAGCCCAGGGAGGATTCTGGAGAGACTCAGGGGTATTTTTCTTTTTTGAGACAAAGTTTCACTTTGGCACCCAGTTGAGGGCTATGACATCATAGCTCACAGCAACCTCAAACTCTTGGGCTCAATTGATCCTTTTGCCTCAGCCTCCCAAGTAGCTGGGACTGCAGGCGCTCACCACAAAGCCCACCTATTTTTTTCACTGATTTTCTCCACCAATGGGGAGGCCAGCTCCATGGTGAGCTGGTAATCACTGCTACTTAGGAAAGCAGGATCCTGATGCCCTCTGGGGAGTCAGCTCCCCATGTAGTAAAGGGGTCTTCTGCATCCCCAATCCCAGCCCTCTGAAAAACTCCAGAGGCCTCCTGGGGCACTTTGGCAGTGATGAGAGCACTTTCCTATAATGTGATGGGCAGGGATAGGGCTCCATGAGGGTCAGAGCCAACTGACTGGGTCAGAGCAGAACCAGGAAAGACATCACACCCCCAGAAGGGTCAGTGAGAGAAAAATCCGGCCCCTGCGTTCAGTTCAGTGACCTAGATATATAAGTGGGGGTAGAGGTGCTGTGTGTGTGTTTAAGGGGACCTGGGGCCATGACTTGGGGATGCGTATTTGTCTGTGACTTGCAGGGGCGTGTGTCAGAGGTGACTTGGCAGTGTATGTGTGGTGTGTGTGCATGTGTGCAACGGGAGAGCCAGTACCAAGACCATAAACCTCTGCCAGTCCAAGGCCAGCTTTGGTTCATGGTCAGTCACACACACACACAATCTCACATACACACACAGTCACGTACACACACGAAGCAATTAACTTTAAGAGGACTGAGTCTAAAATACTAGGGAATCGCTCAACATTTCAGAGCGACAGGGTTCAATGTTCACCATAGTAACAGCCTTTTCTTGTTCAAAACATGTATTGTTGGATTCCCAAAGGCTGGTCATGGGCCAGCAGAACAGGAGGAGCCAGTCCTCTGATCGGTGCATACACGGTGTGCATATTGGGGGGGTGCCGTGCCGTGCATCCTTCCGGTCCTCTGATGGGTGCATACACAGTGTATTAGTGAACTCCAGTGAGGGACACACACCACTGCTCGCACGCACTCCCACCCCCATCTTTCTTGCTGTCAACACAAGGTTACCAACAGATTATTTCCCACCACATTTCGGTTTCCAATTGTCCTTTGTTTTATGAATTAATATCCTGAAGAGTTGGCAGGTTTTTTTCTTCCACCATAAAAATTACCAATGCTACGTTTCTCCAATGGCTGGGGAATTTTACTGGTCCGTGAAATCCAGACGATTGGCACCCCCTAATTAAAAATCGCTTCTTGCCATCGTATTTGGAGGAGGAGAAGAGTGTGGGACCTGAGTCCGAGGCGTTGTATGCCACCCTTCTCAATCAATGGAAACTTGCTATTTGGTGAGGGAGACAGATGTTTTCTTTTTTTTTTTTTCTTTCCAAGTAGTTCCTGTCTTCTCAACAGGTAAAGGGATGCCCAGTTGTTCAAATCCATCTTTTCTACTAGGATCTGCTGTCTTTCTATGCCTTGGCACAGAACTCGAGAGAACAGCCTGCAATCTGAATATATGCTAACAAAAGCGGGATACTCATAAACTAGCAGCATCAAATTTTTACAGGAATCCGGGGATACATAAAGGAGAGGGGCCAGGGAGGGAGCTGATTCTTCCCACACACACGTCCAGAGCCTCCAAGTTTGTTTACCCATAATTGCTAAGCAAGTATAAATTAGAACAACAAATACATTCTGCCTCGGAAGGGTGACACCAACCCTGTAAATAATTATAATTTAATCTTACAGCAAAGAGCTCTGAATGACTCCCCTAACATTTTCCTGCGTTTAATTCCTTCCCCACTGAGTGACTTAATAGGAAAAGGGATACTCCTTCGGTTTCGTTTCACTCCAGAAGTTTGGACAATGTGTAGGCTCACACCTGGGGGGCAGACGCAGTAGGAGACCATTTGGCCCACAGATAAACAAGTGAGTCGAAGAGGCCTAGGAAGAAAGGGAACTAGCAGGGATATTCCTCTTGGCACCTGTTCATAGGAGCGAACACTTGAGAAGAACCTGATAAGAGATCTAGCTGGTGAGTAAAGTGTACCACAGTCCTACCGGGGAAAGCGTCCAAGCCAGGAAAAACCATCACAGATACAGCACGTCATAGTACGATGCCCTGGCTTAGAAGACAGGCTTTGGAATCAGGTTAAACTGGGGTGCAATCCCAGCTCTGTTCCTTACTCACTGTGTGACCTCCATAAACAGCATAACCTCTGGACGCCATTTCCCTCATCTGTAAAAGGAGGAAAATTATGCTACCTAGTTTATAGAGCTTTTATGAAGAGGAAATGAAATTATAGTTCTGAAGAGCTTAGAACTGGCCTGGTGCATATTGGTAGAAAATGTTCAACAAATCATTTAATTATCAAAGGTTTTATGGTTTGGAAGCATCTGTAATGCTATAAGAAAAATTTTCAAGACACAATGTTAAGCTACAGATGTGTGACTACAGACATATTAAGATTCTAACTTGGTAATATTAAAATATATGTAAATAGCCACCTAGTTGGATCTAGGTCAAGCAAAAAAGGTCAAAGGGGAGTACATCAAACTTATGATAATCTGTTATTTATTTCTCTAGGCCTCTGTATATTTACTATGTTTCCTAGAAGGAGCACAAGCATTACACTTACGATCAACAAAACAGGTATGTTACAAAAAGAGGCAGGGAGCCTGAGGGTCTTTGGGGTGGGCAGGTCATCAAGATTCCAGTTCAGTGAAGGCTCATCTAAACTTTCAATCCAGCTCTCCACTAAAGGCACCAGTTGTTGCTCCTGGACTAGTTTACAGAACATTAACGTCCCCAGCATGGGCTAAGCCTTTGCTCACACTGCTTTTCCCAACCCTCCGACAAGGGTAAGAAATGACCTGCCGAGCGAGGTTCTCACAACAAGCTCAAGGCACCATCATCGCCTGACTCCCAGGTCAGCTTGCCTCCCACTATACCAGGAAACGTGAGTTTTCTGGTTATACTGGCTCCCAAATCTGAGTTGATATTTCAGAGGAGTCCATTCCCATCCCACTTAAACAGTCACACTTGGCTCCTACCATGAATTTATCTGATTTGCTCATCTAATAGACGATGAGCTCCTCCGAGGACCGTGTCTTACTCAGGACACCACCACGAAGCTGGGTATAGGTGCCTCTTCCTCCCACCTTCCTGCTTTCCCTTCCATCTTCTTCCTTCCCTCCCCTCCTCTCCACCCCTCTACTGCCACGTTTCCATCTGTGCCAGTCATTGTCCTTCTCTGACTTTTGCATCCACCACTTTCTTCTCCATTCAGAATCCTCAGGGATACCTCCTCCATCCTCCATCCCTGCACACCGAGTCCTGCCTTCCCCTGGCACTGTGCAACAGCTAGGGCTGTGACCATGCCCCATCCTTGCCTGAGGTGTGTTTGAACATATCCTTCTATTGCCTAATGTACTGCCAAGGTCTCCTGATGCCCTCATCCTGATAACACAGCCACAGTCTAATGTACTGCCAAAGGTCTCCTGATGCCCTCATCCTGATGACACAGCCACAGTGAGAATACACGAGAATTTCCCAAACACCACAGCACCATTTATGAAGCTCGCCATCCAAACACAGAGCTGGATACTTCCTTAAACCTACCCCAGCTTCAGCATATCCCATGAGACCAAGTCTGGGAGACAAGGAACAAAGGCTGGTAAGTCTTCAACCATCCATCTCCTCCCTAACCCACGGACACCCAAGAACCTCCGTGGAGCGCAGCAGAGAAGAGCCGACACATTTTAGCCAGAACAAGAGGGGGATGGTTAGTCCTTCCCTTGCGACACTGAGAAATCAGGCCTTTCCTCTGGCTCAGGACCCCGGGAGTGGGAAAAGCAATTGCCACTTATGCTTCCAGTCCCCTTGCTGGATACAATGCATATGTCTTCCAGAAATGGAGCCATATTTCAAACCATTTTCCTGGACCCTGTCCACATCCTGAGACCAGAACATTTTTCGCCTTAATGCAAGTTATTCAACCTCAAGGCCCATCATGAAATTCTTCAGCAAGCACATGCTTCAAATCAGATATCAAAATCACTGTAAAATTTTACCCCAGCTCTAAAAATAAGCAGTGATTTCTCATCATGATGAGATGAAGAGACTCCAGCAGTAGGTATAAGGAAGTGGCAAAGAGCCTCTGGCTGTAGGTCCAGGCACTAGGCAACTATGCGCATCTGGGTAAGAACTGGGGAGAAAGGAAGGGGATGGGGATGCTGTGCTTACCAGAGGGAGGAGCCTTCGGTCCCTGTGACTTCCAGAAAGTCGTAACCATCCTCCAGCTGGAAGTCAATGAAGACCAGGGCGATGGTGTCTCCCAGCTCAGCCAGGATGGTCCACGTGCAGTCGGCATTGTTATGGTACTCCGAGGGGAAGTGGGGGCTGGAGATGATGCCACTCTGGCCCCGCAGGGTCCCGCCACAGGCATCGTCCGCTGTGGGCACAGAGAAAGAGATTCACATGAGTGGTCTGGTTTCAGGCCCTGGAAATGACTGTGGGCCTCACCCATGAAAGGCACAGAAGGACACATGCAAACAGGTCAGACAAGATCCTGGTCTGAACTGGCCAGGGTATCATTTGAATAATGATGCCAGATGTTTCTATAGCCCTTACCACGTGCCAGGCCCTGTTCTGAGAACTTTAGATATAATGTTAGTATTCTCATGTAACAGAGCAAGGAAACCAGGGCACAGGGAGGCTAAGTGACCTGGCCCAGGTCACACAGCTACTGAGCGGCAGCGCTGTTCCTAGAGCGGACACTCTTAACTACCACGCCAGGAAGAAATCAGCTGTCTCATGGGTTTCCATGGTCACTAGCTGAGTGACTAGGAAGTTTCTTCCTACCAGACTTGGTCAATTTCAGATGTGATGAAACAAAACAAAATTTAACATAGCTCTCTAGGGCAAAACTCAGAGGGCATTCTATGCCTGGTACCGCCTGGCCAGATGCTGCAATCTTTCCTCTGCCCTGTCCGCTGGCCAGATGAGTGCCGGTGCTGTGCCCTTATCCAAGGCAGGTCTCTCAACCTCACCTTTGGGTACTGCCCAATTCCCTGGAGCTTTAGTAACTGCTCTCTCCTTCTTCTGTCTGGCGGCCGTGTCTGTGCTAGGTTAGAGATGTGAACTGAATGATATAGCGGGGAAAACGCACTATCAGTGTTCAACTGTAGATGAGATCCAGCAGGGTAACATAATGAAAGCTAGTATTTATTGAGCATTTATTTTTATTATTTTTTTTTACATTAACCAAAAATCTGTTGAGCATTTATAATATGTCAGACGCTATTCTAAGTATTATGTACATTTCATTTAATTTTAACTGTGACCCTAGGAAGTACTTTTTCCCATTTTATAAGTGAGGAAACTGAGGCACAAAGAGATTCATTCACTTCCCAAAGATGATGACAAAGTTCATAGTGGAAGGAGATGAAATTCAAATTCCTGCAGGGTCTATTCTGTTAACCAAGACACTCTTCTGTCTCCCAAGAGTGCAGTTCACACTTTGAGGACATAGGGAGCAAATAACTTTGCTTGGATAAGTCAATTCAGGAAAGCTGAACAGAGAAGGTGGGTTTTGAAGGTTGAATAGGAGTTCACTAGACAGAGAAGGAAAGGACAGTTAAAAGAAGAGGAACCACAGATATAAAAATGTGCATGGGTGAGCAGAAAGGGATAATGTATGATGGTGATAAAAATGTGAGAGAAGTCACGTGAGAGAGAGCACTGGATCAAAAAGATTGGAAGTAGCCAGGTCAGAAAGGTTTAGATTTGAGTTTAGGCTTCACCGTCCTCTAAGCACATACGTGTCCTTGGACAATCTCTTTCTCTAAGCCTCAGTTTGCTTTTCTGTACACTGGCTTATTGTGGTAACTGAACAGGAAAACCAAGGGACAGTCCCCAGCATTAGCCAGGGGCTGGCATGGCAGATGCCCAACAAGTGCTAAGTTCTCCTTTTCCTTCCACTTCGTTTTAGGGATCAAGAGGAGTAAAGAAACAGGATTCAGCTTGCATTTTAGAAAGAACACTGGCTGTGGCAGAGCAGAGGTCTGAGTCAGGAAGCAGGCAGGGCGCCCTTGGAGGACATAGTCACCAAAGCCCAGGAGGGGCTGGGTGAGATGGAGCTGAGGCTGTGGGGTGGGTGGAAAGGGGACTTATTCAAGGGATATTTAAGAAGTAGAATTTACAGGACTCCGCAACTGGGAGGTATGAAATCCAGTTTGTGGCAGAAGCAAACACACAGAGGAGAGGTGCTATTTCCTGGGGGCAGGGAACCCAGGCACGCCTTGTGGTGTGGAGGCAACCAGCTCAGGTTTGGACACAGACTGCTGGGCACGTCTGTGGGGCGCACAGTGGTGAGAAGAAATTAACAGACACATAGGAGCCATGTGGGCTAGAGATGAAGTGAGTTTGGTTAGTGGCTCTGAACAATTCTTACTAAGACCATTCTACAGAGCCAAGAAAGCCCTGAGCTGACTTCTAAATGCCACTCATCAGGTGGATACGAGCAGAGAAATGAAAGGGCGTCACCCACAGTAGGTAGCCCTGAATGCTCTCCTCCCACACCCATTAACTGAGTGGGTGCCAAACACTGGGCTGGGGACGGCACTAGGATATGAAATGTTTGATTCCATCCTTGCCCTTAAGTGCTTCTCGGGGGGAGGGGAAGGCAAACCAGCAGAGGCCATTTGGAATTGTTACAGTGGAGGTGCTGAAAGGACAGTGACAGCACATGGGATGTAGGGAAGGCTTCACAGAGGAGACATTTTTGTTGAGACA